GCCATTCGTTACGACTTCCCTTGGGGCTAACCAGCCGCAGTGGAAAGAAGGGAAACACTGTTTTCTGCCCTGGTACAGACTTCCTGATAGTCCCTTTTGCATCATCGATACTCTCCGACGAGCAGGTGGGTGAACTACTTTGTGACGGTGTTCTTTGTCATATGGAGGTGTTGTGTGTCTTCACTGTTTCACCTCCACATTGCTCCTTCCTTTTGAGACTTGCTAATCTGCCGAAACACTGCTGGCCTACGAGCGCGAAATGAGTGCTCGGCGAATTGAACGCGTGCAGGCCTAGCAAATAGTTACTCAATACATTTAAACAAAACACAACGTATTTCGGGGCCTTTTTGAAGCCGCTGTCAACTTGTTTCTGAATTACACTGAACTGGACGAGAAAGAGTCAATGTAGCCCCAAGGGGGCTAAAAAAACGCTGATTGGCGGATTGGTTCACCCTCCCTTTACTCCGATTAGTGAAGTTTTGAGTGGATGGTCAGTTTCATGTGACTGGGTCGCTTGTGCAATGTTGGATCTCAACAACAATCGCGAAGGTGAACAACCAAGCTCATGAACACCACTCACTCTTCCACACCAACTATTCCGTCTTAGACAAACAAGCCAGCGAAGATCGTGAAAATGATCTAAAGTTTTTTTTCACAACTTCAACTCAGGCCGAGCTGACTGATCGTGGTGGTTGGTCATGCCGGAAATGTCAGCTAGAAAAAAATGCGTTTGTGTCTACAATTCCGAGCTAACACCTGTGAAGTTGGTGTTGTTTTTGTAACTCAACCTGTGTAAACGAGAAAATAGAAGTCTGTTCCTTGAGATCTAAACTACATGCTGTCTCCTCACGTTTCAAAAGCTTTCTTGTCGGACCATCCTTTAGATGACAAAGCTAGACGATGAGCAAACAAACATTCTTCGGTCTTGGCAGCAATGACTAGCGTTCTTTTTGGTTCGCATCAGATTCTTGGCTTTTGAGAAAAGTGTTTTTCCAAAAAAAACCTGGTCGTTGGAGCGAATTCATGCATGCTTCACGCCGCTAGGTTGTGAACACACCTGTACGAAAGCAATAGCCAATCAGGAGAGCTTGTTTGGAGCACTGAGGCAAAGGATTTTAAATGAGGTTAATCGATTTCACAGTCCAGTATCTCATCCTCAGAGATATTGTAAGGCGCTATGCACTGAAGCGAGATTCCTTCCTTCACGGCACTGACCAAACCGATCCGGATTGAGGAATGCGCTAGGCACACCTCTTATTTCGAAGGACGCGGGGAAGTTTTAGACATATATTACCACAACCATTATGAGGATGTGATCTGTCACTCGGATTACTTTTCAAAGGGACAGAAGCCATTGAAAAACAACGTTGAAAATATGAGCAATTTTTCTCATACGCTTTTATACATAGTCAAGTTCAGCAGATTGATGCTGTTGATGTCAATTCATACAACTGATGGCGAAGGAACATATCGTCATTTTGGGGACACCTGGATCTCATCATCATCCCAATCATCATCATCACCATCATTATCATCATCATCATCATCATCATCATCATCATTATCATCATCATCATCATCATCATCATCATCAT